GGTGGAATAGTGATCATTATATTAATAGAGGATATAGGAGGAATAGCGATCCGTATATTAATCATATTAATATAATATTATATTATTTGATCTATTTCAAATCTCTTACTGGATAAAATTAATTAGTTCAATGTTCATTTCAATTGTCTTTTCGATGAACAAATTGAGCGGATACAACATATGTTTAGATCAGATTTCGCTAGCTGTAAGCATACACTTATCTTACCTCCCCGGTCCAATGTACTTCATTATGTTTTTATCAAAAATATTAATTTCGTCTATTTTTTTTTAATGACCCAAATTAAACATCGCCTTCTGCCCTTTTGCATTTATTTATAAACAAGTCCTCGCCAACCCGATTTGAAATTTATTCTTTATCCATCAGCCGTCTCAGGGTTCATATATCATTGTTCTAGATTCTTTCTTATTAATAACGCTGACACAGTTTGTAACTTTCACGGAAGATCGTGTTTTCCATCTTCAATCAATAAACGTTATATTTGCGTGTGTGCATTCATGTGCGTCAACCTCTCTCTGTTACAAATTGAGTAGAGTATAGACCACGTCATCCACTTTATTCAGTAATGGGATCGCCTCTGTTTGTTCTCTGACAATCTATGATCAAACTCAAGTGTCGGCAGCGACACTATATTTTCTATATAATATTCACACAGTGAATCTGTTGATGTCAAACATATCAAGGAAAAACTTTAAAAAATATTTAGATGAGGCAGCCAAGGAAAGCGAGAAGAAAGAACTATCAACTGCAAGGAGGCAGAAGATAACGTTCTCAGAAATAGAAAAATGTAGTAAAGGAAAGATAGAAGAAAGGACTATCAATTGTAATAAGACAGAATGCATAGTTCTCATCAAGGGAACAAATTTAGTAAAGGAAAGCGAGAAGAAGGGACTAACTATCAACTGTAAGAAGACTGAATACATCATCCCCAGAAAGAGAAAATATAGTAAAGGAAAGCGAGAAAAAAGGACTAGCTATCAACTCTTAGAAGACAGAATGAATCGTTCTCAGCAAGAGAAAAATAAAAAAAGGAAAGCGAGAAGAAAGGACTATTAACTATAAGAATATTGAATGCATGGTTATTAGTAAAACAAGAAAGACGGCCAAATATCTGACACGTGTATTTAAACATGACTCTTTCCTTATTTCGTACAATTCTCCAGTACGATTATCTATATTTTGTTTTAGAGGCATAATATATGCAACCCATTTCTAACCAGCTTTGTTCAAATTCAAGTTGCTTTGTTTTGAATTCAGTTGTCCTTCTCCGAGGCCGATTGCCAACCATGGCTAGCGAGCTCAGTATGTACTACTATTGAACCCATAGCAGGAGCAAGAATAGATCGATTCATACTTCTTCGAACTTTGTGAATGAAGTAGAAGAAGAAAAAGAAGACAAAGAAGAAGAAGAGGAAGACGAGGAAAAAAGAAGAGGAAAACGAAGAAGAACTAGAAGACGACGACGAAGAAGAAGAAGAGGAAGACGAAGAAAAAGAAGAAGACGAAGAAGACGAAGAAAAAGTAGAAGACGACGAAGACGACGAAGAAGAAGAAGAAGAAGCAGACGACAAAGACCAAGCAGACGAAGAAGAGGAAGACGAAGAAGAAGAAGAAGACGAAAAAAAAGAAGAAGACGAAGAAGAAGAAGAAGAAGAAGAAGTAGATGACGAAGAAGAAGACGAAGAAGAAGACGAAGAAGAAGAAGACGAATAAAAAGAAGACGACGACGAAGAAGAAGACGAAGAAGAAAGAGAGGAATTATAAACAGTTCGAATTAAGAGAAGACGTTGGAGAAGAAGTGAGAGGGAAAATAATGAGGAATGAATTAAATCACGAAAAGTATGAAAAGGGGAAAATTTCATTAGACAAAAAAAGAAAATATAAAAGAAAGAAGAAAGAAAAAGCTAAAAAAAAGAGTAAAGAAAATAGGAAAAAAGATGAAAATAGAAAGAACAGAAGAAAGAAAAAGAGAAATAGAAAGAAAGAAAATAGGAAGAAAGAAAGAAAGAAGTTTAAGTCAGAGAGAGAGAGAGAGAAAGATAAAGCTAACAAGAGAGGGGAAATGATGAAAAGAAAGAAAGAATGAATGAATGAATGAATGAATGAAATAGTAATTCAAAGAAAAGAAAGAAAAAGAAGTGAAGGAAAGAAAATAGAAAGGCGCTAAAGAAAGAAAGAATAGAGAAAAATTTAAACAGTGAAGCCGTTAAAGATAGAAAGAATAGAAAGAAAGAAAAAAAGAATAGAAAGAAAGAAGCTGAAGTCACAGAGGGAGAACGAGAGAAAAAGAATAAAAGAGGAGGGATGTAAAAGGAAAACAATGACTGAAAAGAAAATCAGCGGAGAAACGAAGAAAGAAAGAGACAAATAGAGAAAGAAAGAGACAAAGAGAGAAAGAAAGAAAGAAAGAGACAATAGAAGAAAGAAAGAAAGAAAGAAAGAAACAAACAAACAAACAAACAAATAAACAAACAAACAAGG